TCCAGGGCCAAAAAAAAAAAAAAACACCATTTTTGGGTTTAAAAATTAAAAAAAAAAAAAAAAAAAACTTTTGAAACTGAAAAATTTAAATATTTTCTCTGGCAAATTCCTGGGATTAAACACAAAATTTCAGATTTTTTTTCTAGTACATTTTCGATCTTCAAACTCAGGAATTTCCAAGTTCTTTGTAGAAAATTCCTGAAATTCATCTTAAAATTTTGGAGTTTCTTTCCAGCAAATTATCTATTTTTGAATCTCAGAAATTGTCACCATTTTTCTAAAAAATTCCTGAGATTAAACTCAAAATGTCAGGGTTTTTTTTTTTGGTAGAAATTTGCTCCTTTTAAAAGCAGAGTTGTGTGTTTTTCTCCATGACTCCAGAGTGCCAGCCGTGCCAGACCAACTGGGTCCAGTTCCAGGGGAAGTGCTACCTGTTTTATGAGGCTTATTGTGAGACGTGGAGCAAAGCCCAGGAGTTCTGCCGCAGTAAAGCTGCTGATCTGGTTCTTGTTGATAATCTCCAGGAACAGGTGAGCTCCACACCTTAAAGCTGCAGCATGTAGCTTTTATTAAAAAAAAAAGATTTTTTATAAGTTTATTAAAACAGTTTAATCTGTGAAAAGATGATCTCCACCATCTCTTACCTGAGCTGCTATTGCCATTTTAAGAAAAGAACGTATCCCGACCAAAAACAACCAATCAGAACCAGCTGGCGGGTCTTAGTGCTGTCAATCACTTCATGAATGTGCTGCTAAATGTGCTAATTTTGGAGAAACAACTTACCTTTACAGGAAAACAGTTTATCTGCTGTCATTGGTGGCTATGCCAGCTAGCCTTAGCATGCAGGGCATTCTCTGCTACCAGGAAGAAGGGTACGCAAGAGTGATTGGCAGTGCTAAGACCCGCCTCCTGGCTCTGATTGGTTGGTTAGCGCTGGGAGAAGAGAGAGGAGCTCAATCTGTCTCATAGCAAACTGTCACAACATGGCAGTTTCAACAAATATGTAAAAATATTTTTATAAAAGTTTCATGCTGCAGCTTTAGCACTTTAACATGAGGAAAAAATGAGCTAAATAACCTTTAATTATCTGATTCTTTGTGAACTTTCAGGAGTTCCTCAAAAATCACCTGACGTCTTACAGCAGCTGCTGGTCGTCCTGCCAGTTCTACAGCGCAGGTTCAAAACCTTTCGGGTAAGAAATCCTTTTACTTTTGGTGTTTTATTTGCTTTTTAATTGTTAGAAACAGCTGAGAACAGGTTAATACTTAGTGTTTTTACAAAATGACCACAAATCACACATTGTTTTTCACCAGTTCCCCATTTTTGTGGGTAACATTACCCTACACAAAATATACATAAATTATGTATCATGTGAGACTCTGATGGTGTTTTATTTTGTCTGTGAGTTTCATGTGTGTGTTTCAGTTGAAAATTGTGTGTTTGTTTCAGGGGAATCTGATCCACAGCTGGAGCACAGCAGGATATTCTGACAGAAACAAATTTATATGTGAGGGGGAAGTCATGGTGTGGCCGAAATAATCACCACTGATTCTTCCTCTTTACGTTCAAACAGCTTGTAATTCAGAAATGTTTGCTTGGAGATGTAGATGGAAGTAAATCTGGTTATTTTACCAGACAGAAACAAAATTAAGGAAAACTTTAAATCCAGTGAAAATATCTGATTCTAAAACAAAATTCTTGCTCAAATTGTCTTTATTTCATTATGGGATGTGCAGTTTCCAGGCCAGAAAGCAGAAAACAGTGTAATGTTATCTTGAACTGATCAATAAATGAAGAATATATTAGGACTGAAGTGCTGAGAATACTTTTACTGCTTGGCAATATACCCTTTAATTCATTTACTTTTAAGTCTCAGATTACTGTGTTTGTGGAACCTGGAGGATTTCATTTGCAGAGTTCAATAAATACCAAGAACATTTGGATGTTTTTATTCATTAAAGATAAATATAACCTGAATCACTCAGCAGAGTACGAAAAACTAGATCTCAAAAGTTTTGCAGAATGGAAAAGTCTATCATTTGCATTATGATCGATGACATCATAAGAGGTACTGATGGTTAAAGGAGTAGTGTTGTGTGTTTTCCAGGCACATGGTGTAATTTTATAGCATAATCAAGTAACTATGCTCCCTTCAGCTGTTATAAAAATGTCGTATACATGAAATATGTGTTATTTTTTTTTTACTTCCTTGAAATTGGGCCTCTGTCTCTTTAAAACCTCCTACTCTTTCTGAAGCTCCGCCTACAGGAAGTCATCCCAACATGGCCCCTCTGTTAGCCTTTTATCCATGTTTTTACCAGCGTTGCTCTGATAAGTAGCTCCTATAATGAGGTCAGCAGCTCCACCAGGTGTTTACTAATTGCTGCTGGCTAGTCTGAAGGAGCTGAGTGGGGGAGGAGCTGCGTCACAAAGGCGGGGCTAGGTCCACCCAGGCGTTTTCACAGCTGAATGGTTGCCATGGAGACTAAATGGTTTATCAAACATGAATGAAAGAATCAAAGCAAAACTCAAATAAAATTATAACACGATGGAAAGCTGAAAAAATGCTGATATTCATCAACTGATATTAGTGAATAATTTGGTGTTGGACCCAATGAGGGTGTGATTTATTCTGTCTGGTGATCATTTTCAGGGGATTAATAAACAACTAGAGCATCAAACAGCGGGTCAGGATCCTCTCTACGGGTCTCCAGCAGGTTCTGGTCAAAAATGTTTGATAATCAAATCATTTTATTCTCCCTCCAAACATTAAATGAACCTTTTCTGTGTTTTTCATGTGAATAAAAAGAGAAAAACATTAAGAAGTTCTGAAAATAAACCTGTCCAGTTTCCTCATGTGATGTTATTATAATAGAGTGAAAGTGGAAGATTATTAACTAAAACAAGGGTCACCAACTCCTGTCCTCGAGGCGGGTGGAGAGGATGGTATACCATCCTGTAAGTTTTAGATGCGTCTCTGCTCAAACACACCTGGATCAAATAAACTGCTCGTTTCCAGCCTGTTGCAGAGAGGAATGAATGCTGGTGAGGGATTCAGACATTTTTGAGCAGAGGTGAATCTAAAAGTTACAGGATGGCCCTGGAGGACTGGAGTTGGTGACCCCTGAACTAAAATAACAATAATTGGAAAAATGATGACAAGTTACCACTCAAAACCAGATATTTACATACACAGAAAAAAAAGCACAAATAAATGTTTTTTTTCACTGTCTGAACAAAAATCAGAACAAACTTTTATTGTTTCAGTTAAGTTAGAATTACAAAAATAATTTCTATTTGCTAGAAAACATAAAGAGAATTGTTATTATTTTTACTTTTAATAGTTTACACTCATTTGGTCAGTATGCTAAATAAACACACTGACCAAAAGTATAAAGTCAGATATAAAGTTAGATCAACACCATGACTTGGTTTAACTTTTTGTGTTTTCTTCATTGAGTTTTTCCAATAGTTTGCTGGAGTTTTGGTTCCTGACTGAACTTTAACTGGTTTTACAACAAAGCTTCAGTGATTTATCATGCTTTCTATAATATCACAAAATACTGTGAAGTGTAATAGATTTTTATTTAACATGATTGCTTACTGTCCCAAATTATCTCTTTAAATTTTTATATTTTCCATCCTCCTACATTTTGAGGGGAATTTTGTTTTATTTTCCTCAAATACAAGACAATAAAAGTAATATTTTATAAACAAATCAACCTTTTTACTGAGAACTTTAGTTTCCCTCTTTGCATTTGTGACAATGGCATTAAATCTGTGAACTACCTCCTCCGGGAGGCTTTGGAGACGTGAAGAGGAAGAAAAAACTTCTGGTTTTTCTAGAAGATCACGATTTGGTTTTGGTTTTAACAAATACGTTAAAAAAAACATATATTTGTAAAAGTTACATACTGCCTCTTTAATGTGCTTTACATACTTTTATTTTTAATATATTGGTATTGTGATTCTTAGAGTTATGATAAATTTTCACCATTGGAGTTTTTGGTGTAATAAAGAGGAAAAAGTGGTGATAATAATATATTTTTAGTCAGAACAGAAAATACTAATAAAAAATACTGGTGACCAACACACCAAATTTATTTGAACGCATTAATCATTCAGTTTTTACATAAAAAAACCGAAAGAAAGTAAGAATACAGCTGTGATTTTCTATTGTCCCCAGTAGCATCGTGTGCTATGAGGAAGAGGAACTTTCTGTTTGTTCGCCTGGAAACAGAAAAGTGATGAATTGATAATTTTCTGCTTTAAAAGCGTCTGCAGCAGCTTTTGTTTCCCAGATGTTAATGACGGCAGTGGAACTATCAAGTTATGATAATCCCGTCTTCAACTCTGCAAAAGGTAAGAAACTGTTGAAAAACATTTATCCAGGTTTGTTTGTTGCAAAAAGGGAAAATGTAATTATTATAATGCAGCTCTAACGGTAATCTAATACAAACAGAAACTTATTAAATTATAGTATTATAACATTAACATGTATTTTATTGAGTCATAATTGAGGAAAAACATGAAACTGTTATTAAAGTTAGATATATGAACAATATGTTTTAAAGATTTTCATTATTAAATTTGGAAACCAGTAATTAATTTTTCTGTTTATTTTTTGCCTCCACTTTCAGGGGAAAACATGGACGATATTTATCAAAACTCCAGCATAATTCAAAGAGGTGAGAGAAACTACACATGAAAACAGAAAAAAGTTTGTAAAGGATGAGTAAGAAATAAAATCTTTTTGACTTTTAGGTAATTATTAGTTTCTAACTGCTTTTTAAATTATGACAGCAGTGCAAAAGAAAAGTTTGACGAAAATATTAAGGAAAGCAGTGAGTGGATGAATTAAAATAAAATATCTCCATTTAGATTAAACAAATATTAAAAAATAAAACAAACATCAAGATAGTTTCTTAAAAATTCCTTTAAAAAAATCAAATTTACAGAAAGTGCAAATTCAAATTGTGGAATAATAGAAAGAACATTATGAATATTGATTCCAGTAAAACCAGTTTTATGTTTGACAAGTTCAAGGTTACAACGTCTAACTGCTTATTGCAATAAAGCCTCTAACAGGTTAAATATGTGAATATCTGAAGAATCAATAAACATGAAAATAATCCAACAGGTTTCGCATCTGATTTCATGGGGATTTTTTTTTCAAATATAGAAAAAAAGGTTTAGTGAGAGTGATGGTCTGAGTTATCAATCAATCAAGTTTATTTGTATAACACATTTCAGCAACAAGGCAGTTCAAAGTGCTTTACATCATAAAAATACACAATCAAACAATTGAAACATGACATTTTGTCTGGTGCCGTCGTTACACATCAGAATGTTTGTCAATGTTTAACTCATGATGTTGCAAAGTAAAAATAAAAAGGTCAGTTTTAAGTCTGGATTCAAAGGATCTCAGTGTTTCAGCTGTTTTGCAGTTTGTTCCAGATCTGTGGTGCATAGAAGCTGAATGCTGCTTCTCCATGCTTGGTTCTAGTTATGGGGATGCAGAGCAGAACCAGAACCAAACATGCTAAAAGTTCTCATGTTACTTTTGAGGAAAAACAGTTTTAAAGTTTTGCAGCAATAAACTTGAAACAGTTTCTGTTTCTAAAACAAAAGTGGACTGAAAAGAGATGATGACTGATGGTTATTTTAGAATATATTAAAAACTTTAAATAAAAATAAAAGTCTTAAGGATTTTATCCTGATTGTCACTTTCATTCCTTTATTGTAAACAAATATATAAATTAAGCAAATTTATTTCCACTGTTTATTCAGGAGAAAAGCAGATCGGAAAATTAAGCTCTGAAGAAACAACTAAAATCGTCCAAAGTGAGTTTATTTCCTGTTTTTATCCCAATAGGAACTTTTTTTTCATTAAAATGCTGAAATAGTTACATTTAGTACATTTTAAAAGATAATTTTAATATAAAAGTGCAGAGTTTAATATAAAAGTGCAGAGTGACTGTTTTATTCTAAGCTTTTCCTGTGTTACAAGAAAAAACCTGCATCAAATTTTTTTACAATTGGCCTTCCATAAAATTACAGGAAAATATCTGTGGCCTTTTTAAACCACTCTAAAGGAAATCCTGCAACACACAAAAACACAGACAGTTTATTTTTTACTATGTTGTTTGGTGGGCTGCACAGTTGGTAGAGCTGTTGCCTTGCAGCAAGAAGGTTCTGGGTTCGATTCCCGGCCCGGTCTTTCTGCATGGAGTTTTCATGTTCTCCCTGGACATGGTGGGTTCTCTCTGGGTACTCCGGTTTCCTCCAACAGTCCAAAAAACATGACTGTAAGGTTAATTGGCCTCTCCAAATTCTCCCTAGGTGTGAATGATTGTGTGTCTTGTCTGTCTCTGTTGCTCTGCGACAGACTGGCGACCTGTCCAAATGATCCCACCTCTCACCCAGAATGTTAGCTAGAGAGGCACCAGCAACCCTGCTGACCCCACCAGGGACATACAGAAAATGGATGGATGGATATTTATCATTGTTAGAAACTATGAGAATGCACAGTCAACCATTTAAGATTTTTAGTTTTTTATATGTTAAATGTTATAAACACCCATTGATATTCTATTGAAGACATCTGTGTTTATTCTGTAACAGGCCGTAATAGACGATGTTCTTCTTTCCGCCTTCTGCTGGTTTCCGTGGGGATACTTTCTGTCCTGCTGCTGACCAGCATCGGGATCATCTGCTGGGGTTAGTCTGTCTTTTTTCCTTTCAC